CCTCCCGGAGTTGGGTCAAATTCATGTTGGTAGCTTCGATGACACTGTCCAACCATCTTGTCCTCTGTCATCCCCTTCTCCTCTTGCCTTCACACCTTCCCAACATCAGGGTCTTTTCCAGGGAGTCTTCTCTTCTCATGAGATGGCCAAAGTACTGGAGCCTCAGCTTTCAGGATCTGACCTTCCAGTGAGCATTCAGGGTTGATTTCCTTCAAAATGGATTAGCACGGCTACAACTTCAAAAAACTACAGAATATTGCTCTATCACTATTACACACAGGCTCAACGTGAGATGCCAGCCCTCTTCTCACACATAGGTGCAGATCTGCAAAACCATTCTGCTTGCCCTGTGAAAATGCAATATGTTTCATAGAGCTCTTGAGAGAAGGGAAGAATGAGAATGATTTGGGGGCAAAATCAGCAAAATTGCACAAACGCAAAGAAAACATCAATGTAGATTGCACAAAATGACAACGACTAAGGTCAGACACAGTGGATGGGTTCTTCAGCCAGATCTTCTGCAGTTGTGAGTATTTTCAAAGAGGAAAGACTTGTGTTGTGCAAAGACCGTTTGTACATATGCTCACCAACAAAAACTCCCAGAAGCTCAGCCTTCCATCCTTCCGAGGTGGGGAAAATGAGTACCCAGCTTGCTGGAGGGGGGCAATGTGTAGCCTGTATAATTAAATTGTAAACCGCCCGGAGAGTGCTTGTAGTGCTATGGGGCAGTATATAAGTCCAAAAAAAAAAAAAATCTTGTGCAGTTGTGAGTATTCTCAAAGAAGAAAGACTCGTGTTGTGCAGAGACCGTTTGTACATATGCTGTCCAACAAAAACTGCCAGAACTGGCCACGACCAGCTGGGCTGGCCAGGATTCCTGGGAGTTGCAGTCCAAGAACACCTGGGGACCCAGGTTGGGAACTACTCATTTAGAGGCCAATTCTTTGCCCATCCCTACTATAACAGCCTACAGGCAACACACAACACATGTGCCACATATGTTAAGCACAACTCCTGTATCTTTAAAGAGCAGAAGCTTCTGTCATTTGTATAATATTGCTCTTCTGTCCAGGGAGCTCTTGACCACACATGAAGCTGCATGGCACAAGACTGTAGGAAAAGTAACATTTAGGATTTCCAGCTCTGAGGGGGCTTCTAAGCAGGACGAGATTTTTCACTAGGTACACCTTCTTCCACTACTGTAACAGCAGCCCTTCCCAGCAATGAAGTTGTCCTTACAGACAAAAGGAAGGGAGAAGATCCTTTCTTAGAGTGTTGGTTCAGGAACCTGAGGTAGCACCAATGCCTTGAGGAAATATAGGTAAAGGTTCCCCTTGACAATTTGTCCAGTTGTGTCAGACTTTAGGGGGCGGCACTCATCTGTTTCCAACCCATAGAGCCAGCATTTTTCCAAAGACAATCTTCCGTGGTCATTTGGCCAGCGCAACTAGACACAGAACACCATTACCTTCCCACTGTGGTGGTACCTGTTTATCTACTCGCATTTTACATGCTTTAGAACGGCTAGGTTGGCAGGAGCTGGGACAAGCAAAGGGAGCTCACTCCATCACGTGGATTCGATCTTACGACTGCAGGTCTTCTGACCCTGCAGCACAGAAGCTTCTGCGGTTTAATCCACAGCGCCACCATGTCCAATTTCTGCATGCTAATCCAGTCAAGTATGAGACCAAGATAAAGGAAATCTTGGTAGCTCCTGAGCTGTATTCACATAGGAATCCCTTCAAGGCACTGTTACGATGCTCTACCAGGTAATGACTGATAGAACTAAACTATATGGAGGTGGTCTACCTATGAAGACAGCTTCAGACTATGCCTCAGACACCAGCCTTTCCCAACCTTATGCTGACAGACACTGGATTACAATTGCCATCATCCCCATGGAAGATAAATGGGATGAGAAGGAGGGAATGATAATTAAACCACTACTGAATCTATAAGCAGAAACTATATAGTGTAGTTTAAGTGAATCCTTTTGTTTTGCTTGCTAGGTGGCTTCAACCATCCAGAAGAAGACTCCTGAAGGGATCCATCACAAACACCAGGCAATATTTTGAACACCAACATTTTGTTTATTGTTTTCCTCAGTACACAAGACAAGGTGCTGGGGAGGGTTGGTTCAGCTGCTTTCCCTCAAGGTGAGCTTGTCAAAGAGATACTCTCCCATGCCACTCTCAGGCAGGCCCAGGCGCCTCAGGTTGGTGAGGTGGTCTCCCAGCTGTTTAATGGCCTTCACTTGCTCTTCCAGGTACTCTGACTCCAGAAAGTCACACAGCTGAGGGATTTTAAAAAAAACACACAAGTACATCATCAGTCATTTGCACTGCAAAGCTTTCAAGTGGGTAGCTTCACCAACAGAGAAGGAACGTAACACCCCTGTTGGTTACCACCTCTGAGCTGGCCTTCATTATTTTCTTGCAGACCAACAAGTTTTAACTGGCAAGACTAAGAAATAACCTCCAAGGACCACTTCCAGTCAGCGTTACTAGAATCTGTAAGATAGAAACCTGTTTCATCCCGAGTCTGTGTTTTACACACTGATTCCCAAGCTCTGAGGGATGCAAGAGGCTTAAGGCAAGAACATAAAGAGAAACACTGCAGGTGGAACAGATCTTTCTGACATACTTCCTAATAAACACTGCCCATCTTCAGAGCCAATGTTGATTTGCTTGAAGTTCCTTACTGTCATGGAAGCTAACTCACATGAGGGTCTCCCTTCTCCATGGCCAGCTTGTGAAGATCCAGCAGGGCCTGGTTGACCTTCTTCTCCAGCTCTAAGGCGCTCTGCAGGGCATCCAGAGTGTTGCCCCACTCATCCTTCTCTGGTTTCTGTGCAGAAAAGGAGAAGCAAATCATGTATCAATGTATGGTGGCTACACAAACAATCAACACCAGGTCTCTTTGGTGTCCAATTCTTATGGGAATGTGGAAGACTTTGCACCATCACTCACCCGGATGTCCTGAAGCACAACACGCCCCCCTCGCTTGTTCTGGTATCTCAGGAACTTCTCAGCATGCTCCCTCTCTTCGTGTGACTGCTCCTTCAGAAATTTGGCCACATGGGATAAGGCTACATCATCACGGTCAAAATGGTAGGACTAGAAAAAAACAAAAAACCCGCAGTCAAACATGAGACACTTGTTTCGCCAACAAATACTCATGCAACAAAAGCATTCACAAATGTTTGCACTAAAACACTGAGAAGCACCACTAAAGTAAATGGTCTGGCCAGTTTAATGGTGCAAGTACAAGACCAAAGATATATTTAGTGTGACAATTCTTGCTTGGTTGCCACCTCACCGTGTAGATAATTTGGACTGATTGTGACATCTACATGGAGAGCTAACCTGCTGTGCTCAATTCCATTGGAGTTTTATTTACAACAGATTGTCATTTTTCTGGGCTGGGGTAATTGCTTAATGCTGGGCAGACAATCACTCCTTCAATCTTTTGCAATTCAAAGAGAGGCCCACCCCCTCTGATCAATATTTCTATCCCTCTTTCATCAATTGGTGGCAGTTGCTTTTTGCTGATCAATATTTCTATCCCTCTTTCATCAGTTGGCAGCAGTTGCTTTTTGTTATTGTTGATCTGTTCAGTTGGCTGCTAGTATGTGTGCAATAAAGCAGTACATGCAAGCAAATATTAATGAACTTTTATAAATTTTCTCCTACAAATGTTTCAGTGAATTATTGGGATTTTAAGTGCCAGTTAATGAGAAAGGGGTGAACTCTGCAGAAATTTCAACCTATGCTCCTGTGTGAGTCACTGTATTTCTACTGTGTATCAAAAAGACTTTTACCAGAAATTCAAAACTCTATTGTAATAAATTTAATGACCATTGACTCAGTTTATGACTATAAAAATGATTATCCAAATTATTTGTGAAAAACAAGATGCCAGCACTACCATTAACAGCAATATAGAATGGGAATTACGACCAATCCCACTTCTATGTTAATAATAAAAGAGCAGATATGGCATTTTCACCAGTTCTCTGCATAACTAAGATCTAAGCATCTGGTTGCCTGCAACTACCTAGAGAAGAGGCTTTTCAAAGATAGATGTTCTAATTCCTTCGCACAAAGAATGCATGAAGGAGGCTCAAATTTGAAATGGGTTTCCTATTGGTCAAAGCCTAGGATCACATTGGTGTAGAGTATCTCACAAGGCCTGCTTCATACACAGTGACGGTTGTCTCTACATTAAGGGATAGCTACAAAAGCCTTCTTGAACTTTGGAGACTATTGGAAAAGTAGGGGGGGACCACATGGGTTTCCTCTCTAAACTTGGACACTCCTTTACATTTTCATTCTACAGAACAGGGGCTCTCACTTATTAGTATACTATGCACATACAGAGTTAGTGTCAAACAGCCAAAATAATAAGCCCTGGAAAAACATGCTTGTCAACTCTATCATGGCCATCTCAATAAAGTTATCACTGTTCTTTCTTCATTGTCATTCACAACAACTCATAGCATTTTTTTTTACTCAGCCTTCCAGATGTTATGGAATAAAAAGAAAAGAGTATTAACAAGAGTATTTGATCTTAAACTCCAACACCTGCACAGCTCAAGGATCAGAGAAAAACACATGCTCACTTAATTAGAAATCAATGCACCAGATACAGTGAGCAAAGCACTGGACAAACATGTAAGTTGGGGGAAAAACACAGACACAACTTCTTGCTGATGGAACAGATAATAAGCAGACACTTACCATGGACAAGTAGACATAGCTTGCATGTAGCTCCAGGTTAACTAGGTGGTTCAGAGCAGCCTCACAATCAGCATGGAAGTTCTGGCGAACCTGAGAAGCCATCCCTGAATCCTAGGAAGAAGACAGGCAACAAATACTACACAACTGCTGTTAAAAAAGAGTGTGAGTCCTAAACATTTATATACCGTTGAGAGGCCGGTCAAACTGTGATTGCCACTAGCACTAGCCAATAGAAACTATCTTTATTATCCACCTACCAATCAAGTTTAGGAGCAGGAGGATGACGCAACAGAAATCCTACTAACCATATAGGAGTAATCAAGGTCCAGGTGGTAATATACAGCCAGTAGATGTGTGATCGGCAGAAATGCCAACCAATAGCAATTCTCATTGATGGAAACCCATCAATGGCCTTCCAGGATGGGAGGGTGATGAAAGGATTGTGTTAGGTCAATGCCAGCAGCTGGTAAGTGTCAGGGCTTCACCTGGAAAAAGAGATTTTTATTTGACCTATTTTTTTAAAAGAATGTTTTATTAATCCTTAATTAGGCAGTCTGATTTCCTTTAGGATAATACAGATTTACAGCAAAACCCTATTTTTGTCTACTCAGAAGGATGTCTCACTATTTTCCATGGGATTAATTTCAAGTCTGGTAGTAAGAACAACACCTTAGGCTTTACCTGTACATCTAGGGTTAAACCCTACTCCTTCTGAGATGCCTATGACCACACTGTTCATTTTGAATTCACAAACATGTGGTGAACTTTGTGCAACCACCTGAAATACAAGAGAGGGCTCCTATATCCTGCAAAATAACACAAACAGAGAGATTTCTGTAGATGGTAGTTTGGCATACAAGCTACACCTGGAAAAATCTCACTTTCATATCGTTATTAAAGATACAGGAGCATTATCCACTTTATTACAAATGTGGCCACTCTCAATGAACTAGGTAGAACCTGAATTCATACACATACAAGAGCTGAAGCCCTCTTGTTTGGTGTAGTAAGGTACATTAGAGTTGACCCATTGAGTCAGTAGGGGCTGGGTGAGTGAACTGTTTTGTAAGTTCCATGGATTCAAGTAGCCCTATTCTGGTGCAACTTACTGCTCGAAGCAAGAGGACTTCAGCGAAGCACATTCTGACTGAACAAGAGGCAAACCACTTGTTTATCTGTGAAAGTTTTAAAGTGGGTCAGCTCCCCGGTTCTGCTTGGCCAGAGGAATGCTGAAGAGAGAGGAATGCGATGAAAAGTAATATTCTGCACCAATATTCAAATCTGTTTCGATCAGGAAATCCTGCTGTGCTTTAATCAGAATTACAGAGATAGTACTTTTGTTGAAATGAAGGCAGTAATTGTGAGAGGGGGGGAGGAGAAAAGACATGGCTGAAAAGAGCTTAGAATACTTTTAAGTGACTGACTATCTCTCCTTCTGGGGGTGCCCTGGGTCTGTGCAGCTTGCCCAAGGCTACCCAGGCTGCCTCTTCTTCCTGGAGGCAGAAATGGGGAATCGAACTCCCAATGTCTGGGTCTACAGCCAGAGACCTAAATCACTGAGCTATCCAGCCATCTATCAGGAAATGCAAGACCTGTCAAATACATTGATGGAAACTTTAAAGAGCCATAGGTAAAAACCTATGGACAAAGTACATCTAGTTTAGACAAGGAGGAACAAGTCTTGCTGTTTGTATGGGCCCAGCTATGCACTGTAGATAGAACATCACACCCTTACGAGATGAAGTCTGGTGTTTCAGAGACGTGATTCAGTAGACATGTCTGAGCAGTCACTCTTGCCAACAAGGCTTAGCCTCACCACGCAATCACAAAATGAAGTATGTGACTGTCCAGACTATGAGAGGTGTGAAAACTGTGATAGTTAGGCCTTTCTATAGCTTGAGATGCTCACTCCTCTGATGATGCACTACTTGGAAGGCGTATTTTGGCTCTCAAATGGCAACTTTAAGCATGTAAATCATCTATAAATCCCTACAGAGCTGAGGTGCACGTCACTAGAAGGAGTTATCTGAGCCTTCTTGACACTTAAGATCATCACAGGAGGCCCTCCTCTCGGCCCCGTTGCTAGTGCAGGGATGGTTGATGGAGACACAAGAGATGTACTTCTCTGTAGGGTATGGGACCCTTCTCCCAGGGTATGGGACACTCTCCCTCGGGAGATCAGGCTGGGACCCCCTCCCTTTGGCAATTCTGCCGAAAGCTGAAGACCCACCTTTTCAGGCAGGCTTTGAACAATCTGAATGCCATAATTTAGTTAAGATAGCCTTTAATATTTTACATATTTTCGTTTATTCAATGCATTTTTATAAGTTTTATAGTTTGTTTTTAATGTATAGCTTATGGTGTTATAGGGGACGTGGTGGCACTGTGGACTAAACCACAGAAGCCTGTGCTGCAGGGTTAGAAGACCAAGCAGTCGTAAGATCGAATCCACGTGACAGAGTGAGCTCCCGTCACTTGTCCCAGCTCCCGCCAACCTAGCGGTTCGAAAACATGTAAATGCAAGTAGATCAATAGGGACCACCTCGGTGGGAAAGTAACAGCGTTCTGTGTCTAAGTCGCACTGGCCATGTGACCACAGAAGATTGTCTTTGGACAAAACGCTGGCTCTACGGCTTGGAAACAGGGATGAGCACTGCCCCGTAGAATCGAACACAACTGGACAAAAATTGTCAAGGGGAACCTTTACCTTCACCTTATGGTGTTTTAAATTCTTTTGAATATGTGAGCCACGTTGAGTCCCCTTACTGGGAGAAAAGCGATAGTTCATTCAATTCTCTCAATGCTAGGGATTTAAAGTTCTGGCCCCACCCATCCTCAATATCAAGATCAACTAAAATGTACTTTATTCTGCTCTTCAGTCTCAACTTTCACTGGACTTGTCAGGACCTCCTCTCAGACCTGGCAATCTGCTATCCAGTTTTACTGGGGCCATTCAGGGCCAGAAGTCTGAGACACAGGGAAGAGGAGAAATTACAAACTGCAGATATTACTATCAACCACACCTCCAGTTTATGGCTAAAGTCTTGTTGCTTCATGTAATAAGCCACACTAGAGTAGACCCATTGGATCAATGAGAGGTTGGTGAGTCAACTCCTCCACAGATTCCATTGATTCAAACAGGCCATCTCTTAACTGTGACTTACTTTAGCGTAGTAAGTTGCGCTTAGAGCAGGCCCGTTTGAGTCAGTGGAACATACAGAGGAGTAGACTTACCAAATCTCTGTTGATTGAATGGGTCTACTCTAGTGTGAAGAGTAATTTTGCAAACTGTGTCGTAATTCACAACTCAGAATGATTCCATTTGGAATAAACCCATTCCCAGCAGAATAAGCTGCATTGAATTCATTAGCAATAAACATGTGTAGGATTGTAGTGTTAGTAATTCTCATTGTTTAATGGGTAGATTGTGAAATTGCTCATTAGCTCACAGTATTTGAAAGAACAATTGGTACACTGTTTTACTTTAATCTTGATTACACCGTTAAAATATAAGGACCTCATATAAATTGTACAGGGGAGCTGGGAAGGAAAGATTCACAATTTACAGTAGAATAATAAATGCAGATTTAGGGCATAGTGCCTATTACTGCATTATCTAGAAATGTTAGCATTCAAAAAGGGAAACAAAACTGCTTTATTTTTTGAAAAATGGACCAGCTTTCTTATGCTCTGGAACAGCAAAGCATAGAAAAATGATAAGTATTCTGTCAAAAAATGATGAATAAAATGTTTTGTTTAACTGAAAGTAGCAAGAAAAAGGGTTAATTAATTATTTGCTATGTCAGAATGCATTCCTGGGTTACAGAATGCTCTCATAGCAATTTCTTACCAGAGTTGGGAAAATAACAGTGATTAGGTCTTGTTCTAAAGAAGATGCATCTTAAACATGACTCCGGTCACTGTTTTCCAGTGTGGGCTGCTAGGGGTGAGAGAGCTGAAGTGTTGCAGTTTAAATTGGTCTAACATTGGCTATTAGCCCTAACAGCTGGAAACCTCCGTGTTTAGGGTCACTGGAAGGGTCTGGTCTAACATTGGCTATTAGCCCTAACAGATGGATGAAACCTCTGTATTTAGGGTCAGGCTACTGTTAATCACTGGAAGGACAGATCCTGAAGCTGAGGCTCCAATACTTTGTGCATCTCATGAGAAGAGAAGACTCCCTGGAAAAGACCCTGATGTTGGGAAAGTGTGAAGGCAGGAGGAGAAGGGGACGACAGAGGACGAGAGGGTTGGACAGTGTCATCGAAGCAACCAACATGAATTTGACCCAACTCTGGGAGGCAGTGGAAGACAGGAAGGCCTGGCGTGCTCTGCTCCATGGGGTCACAAAGAGTCGGACATGACTTAACAGCTAAACAACAGCACTGATAATCAGAGCCTATTTTAGGGGCTAAGGGTACACCAGGACAAAGCATGTGGTCTTCTGAATTGGGGTGGCCTTCAGATCCATGGACTAGATTACAGATCATCTGGAAAAAGAGAAAAGGATTCTATAAACATGCTTATTGAAAAGTGGGACACGAAGGGGTTGGACCTTAAATGTGCACGCACAACCCCCAGACGTGTAGCCATATCCACAGTGCCAGAATAAGCCTACAAACATGCCAAATGGCATAGGGTGTTTGTTTCTAACACTCTCTATGCCATTACTTTCTTGCATGTAAATGCGAGTAGATAAATAGGTACCACCTCAGTGGGAAGGTAAAACAGCATTCCCTAGTCACGCTGGCCACGTGACAATGGAAACTGTCTTCAGACAGGCGCTGGCTCTATGGCTTGAAAAGCGGGATGAGCGCCACCCCCTAGAGTCAGACACGACTGGACTAAAAATGTCAAGGGGAACCTTTACCTTTTTAAAGATTGCAAAATGGGACCAAAGCAAACAAAATGAGTTTTGACTTGAAAAACATAAAGTGCTACATTTAGGCAGGAAAAACAAGATGCACAACTGTAAGATGGGTGACAGTTGATTTCGCAGTAAGACAGATTGTATTTGTCTTCAGTATGGAAGGGATGGTCACTCTCGAATTGGCCTTCTCAACCACACTAGATGCTGTTCCAAGTCCTCTGTTCAGAGCAGGTTACCATAGTCTCTCGAGACTGACGGATGCCTAATCCTAGGGACACTTAAAAATGATATAGGGGTCTTAGAAGATTAAGTTCTTAATAAAACCCTCCAGTTTATGAATGTGGGATACTGTAGCTCTGTATCCACGATTGGCCCGATGCTGCTACACAATATTGTGCCTGTGCTGCCAGCAGGAAAAAGGATGCCAAGCTTTACATAGCAAAAGGCAGCCTTAATGTTGA